ACTACCAGTATTATATTATAATGATGGGATATAAATGTAAACGTCAGGGCTGCAGGCGTCTCGGTGGTTAGCACCATTTCTGCGTGGAGTCTCCATGTTCTCCCCGTGCAGCGTGGGTTCTCTCCGGGTTCTCCGGCTTCCTCCCACAGTCCAGAAACATGCTGAGGTTAATTGGTGATTGTAAATTGTCCGTAGGTGTGAATGTGAGTGTGCTTGGTTGTCTGTCTCTAAGTGTAGCCCTGTGATAGACTGGTTACCTGTCCAGGTGAACCTGCCTTCACCCTGAGTCAGCTGGGATAGGCTCCGCCCCCCTAGTGAGGGTTAAGGTGTAGAGATGATGGATGGATGCTAAACATCTGCCTGACCATACCTGCATATGTTTAAGTACTGTTCCAGTAGCTGAACTCAAGTCGAGGGATGAAGTCATCCTCCAGCACTTATTTCACTTTTCATATTGAAGCTGAACACAAAAGTGAAAAAAAAATCCCTGATTTAAAAAAATGAAAACCAATGTGTTTTCTTGAACCCAGCAGTGGTTTAACAGGCAGGTTGTCTTTAAAAGAATGGACAGAACGACACCATTTATCAACCAGAAACTGTAAAGTCCAAACAAATCATAAGGTTTTAAATGTTCACTCAGGCCTCCAGCGTCTCACTGTCAGGAACAATAAACTAAAACCAGGCTCTAGAGTTAAACACTGTACCTGGACTTCCATGCTGTGTTCTAGCTGGAGACAATCAGTGCAGTCTCTGAGGCTTCTCTGGCAGGATGCTTATGGATAAAAGAATCAGCCTAGAGAGACGAACCTATTACAGCCGATCAGTGTGTTCTAGAAACTGGACCCACGGAGGGACGATGAGCAGCATCTCCTGGACCGACTGCTCTGCATCGGTCTGGCTTCGTTTCACGTCTCTGTCTGCACCTTTTGTGTCCCTTCATGTTCTGTTTGAGTCTCTTTCTGTTTGTCTGCTTGATTGACTTTCCAACGAGAAGTCTGGATAGATTCTCCATCACCAGGTCCAGGTCCAGAAGTGTTAGAAGTTCAGGCCTGCAGGCTTCCTGACCCTGTTCAGATCCTCATGTGGTCTCGTATGAAAGAAAGTCGTACTTTTTAGTTGCTGCACCCTGCCTCTGCAGGCCAGCACGATTGAGTTCTGATAATAAGTCTGAATATTGTTGTTTCATTCTGTTCTGTGAGTCACTTCTTTCCCACTCAGCTTGTCTCGCTGCCATCTTGTGGTTTCTTTGCTCCATTGCATGTCGTGGTTTTTCATCCTGCTGCTGCCAAAACTTGTTCCTGGTTTTGTAGAGAATAATCCAGCTTCAGGTCAACAACAGCTCCATATTTTATAGTTTAACATGACAGTGACATGTGCATTAGTCACTTCAAACTGCTATATTCGATGGTAAATAAAGCTTTCTTTGACATAATAAACTCTAGCTAGTGCACAGTCTTGGGCTCAGCTGCAGCAGCGTCTCTCACCTGTTGGCTGTTCGTTAACCTGGTGAACAGCGTTCTTTCTCTGAAGGCTCTAAAACTGTGCAGCAAAAGACAACCGTCCGGCCCAAACACGTACAAAGAGAACGACACCAGCTTCTGTGTTGTAGGAGTTTGGTTTAATATTGTATTGAAAAATAAATTAACGAAAATAAGTTTAAAATGCAACAGAAAACGAAACAGAAGAGATCCAGATTATAAACATTCTTTGCCAGCAGGGGGTGGAATCGCAGTGCTCATGTAAGATTAAATTTACAAATATATATATAAAAAAGGAATTTATTCGACATATCCACAAATCACGAAAGCATTCCTTGACATCCAGTGAGCTGAATCTGGTCTACTGCCCAAACATTGTCCTCCAGCTACAAAAAGGTCTAGAAAATTTATATTTATATATGTATATATTCATACACATGCCCTATGTGTGAATGAGGCTGTAAAAAAACTAAACTGTACAAAACAAAAAGCACAGAGTGGTGATGCTGCTGTGGATGGAATGATGATTAAATAAAGGGAACGATGTGGTGAGGACCACGACCAGATCAAGGTCGACGTTTGGAATGAATTCAACTCTCATCCATTCACGGATTTTGGCTTCGACAACGGAAACACCATCCGACAGTGTTCATGTCAGGGGGTGACGCGACAGCCGGAATGACCAAAGAAAAGAATTTTGTAGTGTTCTGCTAAACGGCTTGTAGTGGTTTCAAACAGGAGGAGGTGGTTTAGTCCTTCACATTAGTCAAGAGAAGAGGAGGAGGAGGAGGAGGAATGACAGAGAGGGAGCAACACTTGGGATTAAAACAAGCTCAGCTGAACCGAAGGAGGAACATGAAGAAGCGTTGCTCTCTGAAACACTGAAGTTAGTTCAGGAGGACCAACATCTACCAGATTAAAACATGGACATGTTGACAAGCCTGACATCCAAAAATAATCTTCAGATATAGGACTTCATGAGAAGTTTGTAAAACATCAACAGCAGGTCGAGTCCAGGACCTAAAACTTTACCAGGAAGTAGTTCTGATCACAGCTCTGGACTCAGCACACTCTGAGTCCATCTAGACGTGTGGCGTTGGACACCAGAGTGCCTGTAGTGTACGTACCGAACTGTTCAAACTTTAAAGGTGAGTCATGATCACTTCAAAACAATAACATAATCACGCTGCTGTCTCCTGATGAACGCTCTACCAGAACCACCACCAGCAGTCCGTCTCCGATTGGTCCACTCAGCCGCACACTTCAACAGGTAACTGGCTTTAAGGGAAACTTTGCTCGTTCTTCTTTCCCAGAGTCAGATGAACTCAGAGCAGTGATGCCCTGATCACTGGTTTGATCTCTGTCTAACTGGTTAAATATGAAAACACGTGCCCTGGTCTGGTCTGTGCCTTCAGTCAGGAGACCATCAGAGCTTCACTTCTTGAACTTCTTCAGGCAGATTAATGCAAATAAATACTATCAAGTAAGAACAGTTTGGTGGTGAAAACAACCAGACCCAGTCCTGTAGGGGGTGTGTTTACTGTGGCTTAAAGCTTTATGCTTCATAAGAACCGACTACGTGCCCTTTGCAGCTCTTCTCCGGATACAGCTGAAAGCAGGTCTTTATTTAAATGCAGTGTTTTGAACATCGGAGTCGCCTCGTGTCAACTGCTGCAGTGGCCCGAGTAAAGGCAGCCTGCAAACCATGTGGCGCCATCTGGGATCTGAACACTCACTGATGACCAGGATGTACGGTACTATATGGTCCGGTCATGACCTCCCTTCCACCAGTGATCCACCAGTGATCCACCAGTGATCCACCAGTGATCCACCAGTTATC